TATAGCCCAATAAGATGATATAGCCCAATAAGGCGATATATAGCCCAATAAGACGACATAGCCCAATAAGACGACATAGCCCAATAAGACGATATAGCCCAATAAGACGATATAGCCCAATAAGACGATATCGGGCTATGAGCCCGGTCTGCGGTGTTACGCACGAAAGTAGTACTCGATCAGGTTGAACAATTTTGAATTAGTCAGATTCGAAGCGAGCGTTATAGATTCAGTTTTGTTTTTATTGTATCTTGGGGAAGGAGTGGATGTTTTGCTAAGTTTTTCTAGTTRGACATGCATGAGGCATGAAGAGGGAACATAGTACTTCTTGATTGACCGCTATCGAGGAACTTTCACGCCGTGACTCTGCTTCAACGGATGTCGTCACTTCCGTCCCTACCGTGACCAGAGCGCAACCCTGATTTTTCACAGCAGCTGACTTCACGTGAAACCTGTGTCAGTAGGCAATTAGAGTGTGTTAGAAATCCGTCATTGCTCTGCCGGGGAACCATGCACTAAATCGGCTTTGTTCATATTATTCTGCCAAATTAATTTAAGTACACAATTAAACTTACAAGCTACGCCTACACTGTAAGGCTACAAGTCGTTGTATAGCCTACGACATGCGTGCAGCTCGTACAACATGTTTTTGAATCCATTGTTTTCAAAGAGCAGATATCTGCTTGACTTCTGAAAACTCCATGCGGTGCGGAAATGTGTATTATATGGGAGGTCGTATTTTCAAAATATTGCTATTTTATTATGCTTGTTATGTCTTCTGCCGTTTAAACCGCGGGAGAATCTCTGCTTGCCACATCGCGACTTCACTTTTGAACTTCCTTTTTACCTCAGAGATGCCATCACTCAACGACGTTCTACAAAAGAAAGTTCCATATCATTGCTTATTATTCTGCTAGTGAACAAACTCCTTTGAATCAGCATATCTTCTGTTTAAAAGGGGAAGATGTTTTTGCGCAATACTGACCGCGTCACTTTGGAACCTCATTTATATGAAAGAGGTGCGACTCTTATTTATTATTCCTCACGAATAAACGAATAAACGAATGAATAAATAAACGAATGCGCTCGTGTTGGTCACTTGACACACTTGTTGCGTCACTTTGTAGCTCTTTTAAGCTACCGAGATGTACTTTGAGGAGGGTTCCATTCCATTCAAACGGTCAGTCCTGTGAGAAACAGGATCAACCAGCAAATTTCATTCATATATCAACTTGTCCCCAATTTTAAGAGTGAATAAACGCAATAAATATATCACAGTCTATACCAGATTCAAATTTCATTTTTTCCTTGATAAGATTTCCCATTAACAAAACATCTCTTATTTAAATAATTAATTCGCAGATATGTTGGGGGGAAAAGATCCAAATTCCATTTTCACCAAAGCCAAACATATATTGCACCAATGTAATGGTTTATTCAATACAACAAGTCTAAGATGTAACTTTGAGATTAACTGTAAACATCCACCCACACAACAATGGATGTCAGTAACTTTCATTAAACTGACTCACCTCTTAACATCCCACGTCCTGAAGCTAATTTCAAGCGGATTTTGGCCTTTCATTGTCCAAAAGCTCTTGAGACATATTGGTCTAACCCACGGCCACACCTACCTACCCACTAAATGTAAATGAACTTTGGTGATTTAGATAACCAAATAGACGTCTTTATCTTTGGCGTAATGTTTTCCCATTTCAGACCACGTGTCATTCTCTTGAGAATAAGATTATTTGTTTCAATTGCCCTATTTCACTATGACGTCACTGATTGTTTATGTGGGGGATAGAATCGCCAAATACAATAGAAAATTCAACAAAATTTGCTACTAGCGAAACAGTCTAATCTAAAATGGCCTGGTTTTCAGATATAATATGTGTTAATGTGTACTAAAAAGATATTCTGAGCGTTTGCTGACTATTCTACTTCTCTTCGTGGATTGATAAGGGTTTAAGAATAATTTTCGGTGAATTTGCGTTGATTTGATAACGCGGTTCGTTATTTTGTCGCTGCATCCGCTTCCATTTATTCATAACCTTTACCTCCTTGAAATTTTATTCGTCGTTTGGTCTTCATACGTACTCTTTACCTCCTTGAAAATATTATTTGTTGTTTGATCAGAACTCTTTTAACCTTGCTGGAGCGAGCGCTTGATATACGTTCCGTTAATCCGCTATCAAAATGAAGGAACCTTAAACGTACTGAAAGGCCTCAGAGCCTGTCAAAGCAATCCAGATGAAATGAAAGCTTCGTGAGCGCAGCACTGAGGAATCCCCTTTTATAACTATGTTATTCAAACCACCAACTGCCTCCATTATTCAAAGTGTTTCTCTCACGTTCGATCCTCACAAAAGACATGAAATAGTATCAAATGAAATTCCATGATGAATGTAAGGAAGGATGGATGAATAAATGAATGTTTGTGAATAGAATGAACGAAAAAAACCCGAATAGAATGAATAAATTGGATAAATTAATGGATATCAGTGAATGGGGTGAATAAAATGGACGGGTGAATGAATAAATGAATATCCCTGGATTTTCCGTATGAAAATGCCACATTTTTCAATATATTTGCAATTCAAAGATAACTGCTCTCAATCAATTACAGTAACATGATATACGAGTACGTGCCGGACCTACTGGGCTTTATCGGGCTTCCTGTTTTGACTGTCTCTTGACTGATCAACAATATCAACACTCAGGACAGATTATTGTTCAAATGACCCTTCTTACAGAGTTTCTGCCCTTCGTTCTGACTGTAGGTTGCCTCGAGGAGAAAAACAGCCTCTGTTCGCAGGGTAGTTAAATGAATACAGTAACAAATATTAATTACATGGACCCGCTGACTGATCTAATATGTACTGAACTTGAAATCAATCTCTATTAGTTATTATTTGGTCTTCAGGAAAAAAATCCCCTGATGTGCGTTCACATTGGTAACATTATTCGGACAATTAGGCTATGACTAAAGCATTTCTTAGAGGACGCTATAGCGCATTTCCACTGATGAGTGCTACGTAGCACTCATCAGTGGAAAATACATGGGATGAATGCATGTAATGTTGTAATATAATGCCAGCAATAATGGAAGCCGTTACATTGTAGACATTATTAGTGTGATCGAGTCAAACCGCACCCATAACAACACTGAATTAATCGACTTAAAAGGGGACTAGCATGAAAATCATCCGCATTTTAATTCATCTGAAACTTTACTGGAACGTGTAACCCTTAAAGGTCTAATAATCACTGGTTTATAAAGCTTTTTCCTGATATTCGGATGAGGAGTATTATATTTTAACGAATTTTTACACTCAACACTTAACATCGAAATTCGAAATTCGAAAACTCGAAATTACGCACACAAAAATAAACAGCAAAACAATCAAAACAACAACAACAAAATGAGAATTCTAATAAAAACAGCCAAACAAAGACTACGTGTTTTGTTGTTGATGGTGGTGGTATTGGTATATATTAACCGTGGTTGTTGTGGTTAGGTTATGACTCTCAACCCCTTTCATATTGCATTGTCTTTGATCAAAACTAACAATCAACTGGTATGCAATCATTGATGATATAGTAGTGTCCTTTTCACCTTCAGCGGTTATCAAACTGTCATCATGCTCCGGATGAACAAGAATGGAGAATGGCAGAGAACGTTCTGGAAATAGCAGTGAGCTAGTACCGTGAGTGTTGCCGCACATTTAACGACGTAGCTCAAACCAACACAATCAAGAATCTTGAACTCACCCCAGCGGTCCAATCACAATGCTCCAGCACTATCTGAAGGTCGGGTTTCCGTACTTAGTTTCCTCATCTCATCCATGTACGTGCAATCAAATCTGCTCACATAAATGAGTTGTTGACAGCTCCACACGCGAGCATAATCAGATTTTAGAATTCAATGAACCAAGAATTCACGAAAAATATACAAGTAATGGGGAAAACGGCGCATGCGCAGCCCAGGAAGTGGCATTTCGTTTTCTGTTACCTCTTGTGGGATGGAAGTGGGGTTTAAAGTCTAATAAAACTGTCTCCGCATAAAACAGCATATATTGGCACATGATTTTCTATAAATTCCGAATTGTATTTAAAATCGTGCGATTTCCTATGCAAATTTGTTTTTTAAGTTTTTTGCCGCTCTGAATGTTAGCCGAGGCATGCACAGCTTACAGGGCGGTATTGCACCGGTGCTCCAGCATATGCTAACTGGATATTAGAGCAAATTTTTCTGTATTTTAAAGCTAGTTGCTTTTTGTAAGATATACATGTGATATATGAATACAGTTGCAAAGTTGGTACGCGTTAAGTGCGATTAAATGAAACGTTTCATAATAATTCATTGACGGAAATAAATAATCAAAATCGAAAAAGAATAAGCAAAATAAAATATCTATGATCCACAATATTATGTTACTAGCAACAAAATTTGAGGAAAATCGCTTTATTTCAATGGGCAATGTATATTGGTTTTTGAAGTTTTGAAGCTGAAGAAAATTTTGATTATAAATTTATGAAAAAGAAAAAGAAATGAAAAATAGAAGGAAAAAAATCTACAACACTATAGTTCGGACAGGTCCAGATCTTATCAGTTCGTTTCGCCCTAAATTATAAAGCTACTTTTACAGTCTGAAAAATAAATAAATCAAAGCAATACAATTACAAGACATAAATCATGCTATAACAACATGAACTAAGATAAAGTACGTGCTAAGTAACCGTTATAAATGCTATCGGCAGACGTTGGTTTCCATCAGATAAAAAAACGGAAGTGTTTACTATATACGAGTTCAGCGTGGGTAAACAGAATGGTTTCTAATAGTATTGATCCATTTATCATTGTATAAGTAGGTAATATGTCAGACGAAACCAGATAATAAGAGTGTTTTGTTTTGTTTTATATCGAGATCAAGGTTGTTTTTGCTTTATGCAGATCGCAAGAGTATTTCAGTAATAATACTTTATCCTTTCCTCACATTCCCATTATCAATGGATCCCATTTTATCAAATATTTCATTTCGTATTGCGTCTACGAAATAATCTATTTAATCAGTCTCCTAATGTGAATGGAAAGGAAGGAATAAATTATTGAAAAAATGAAAATAGGCTGCACATTTTTTCGTCTACTTTAAATGAGAACGTCTCTATTCGGAGCGATTTCTTCTTACAGGACGTCCACTGCATTATACAAGCAATTTTTCCAAAATTTTCCCTCTTTATCGGGCAAAAGAAACCTTGAGTGTTGGTCGGTTATGAATGGGTCGCCATGCAATAAAATCAAGGCGGGGGCTCAGATTAACTAAACCTGTACAAACCGACCAAAGTGGTCGACCAAAGTACATACTGACTCATCAAGTTGCACCTAATTTCGTCAATTATTAAACACGTGTTTCATAATATTTCCTGTCACATGTATCTCATGACACAAAATGAACCGTACTTGATAATTACTGGTGACTGTCTTGTTCAGTTTACGAAAACAACTAGGTTTTTAACATAAAACACCACTTCTCCTCATCAATTATGAAATGTGGCGACCATAGAGTGCCATTATTATATATTGTTGGGGTAATACCTAAAGAAAATTTATTGTAAATTTAAGTGTGGTTGTGAGCTTTGTTCGTTCGGCATTTTCACATGCAAATAAACTGTAATGTATAAATCGCTCTTGTAWTATATAAGCCTTGCCGTGAGGTTAGCGAAAAATGCTAAACCTTTCGAGGTTTGACCCAAAAAGGTTAAGACTGAATTTCTTATACTTCAAAAATCGTCTTGCACCAACCGCACTTACAGTTCCGAAAAAAATAAGCTGAATTTTCAGGTTTAACGACTAGTTTTGAACACTTCGCGTTGGTTTTTAATTCTTCTTGAATTCTTACGGCGGCACAGCACGGTCTCTTCAAGTGCTTTCAAAACTGCGCCCATAAAAATCTTGCTTACAGCGGGGTTTCGCGGTTCGAGAGGTTAAGCTAAAATGCTTCACAAACAAAAAATATTCTTTAAAACTTGCCCAGAAAATAAGGATATAAAAACCGGAGATATCGAAACTGGACTGTAGATATAGTTCATACTTGATGAACGCGATTTATTGGCGTCTTCAAAATCCGCTTATTAGAAAACTGTACTTGTATAAGAAAACGATGAAAGTATTAAGTTAAACTGTTAAGATAGTTGTAGACTAGAAGCACAGACGACGTAAAAGCTAACGTGTTTATTCAAATACAAAATTTTTAGAGATTACAGGTTTTTTTGGTTAATTTAGGCTAGATTGATAAAGTAAAATATTTTTCGTTAAATTATTTATGCCTCATTGAGCACATCGCTTCGACAGCGCTGACTTCATTGTTTTATGCTGAAAAATCATACGAATAAAAAAATTGGGTCCAACAAAAACGATCCCTTTGGAGTTTAATCTACTTTACCCCTCAAATGACCAAAATTTTTAAGAAAATACAAACAAATCTTCGGTTTATGCACATATATTACAATAACATCTGGGAATATTGCCTTCAAAGTGATACATATTGTTTGCTAAGGGCATATTAACACATTGAGCTTATTCACTGATTTTGGAAAATGTCCAAATTTCTTAAAATTAATTTACGCGCATATAAAAAAAATGTCTAATTTGGCAGCCTTTGTGATMAAAAAACTTCGATTCTAATGATTTATGTAAGAATGAAGCTAAATGACCACCATTAGGCAATTCTTAGAGCGACAATCAAGCACTGAAAGCAGTAAATTGTTCTCACTGGCCTTCCGCAAGAATGCTTAAACTCGAATCCAATTATCAATTCTATTCCCTATCTAGTTATTCAAGATTTCTGCCGGACATATTTTTTTATTCTCAAAAGACTGATAGCCATACCTTCCATAATTTAAATCGACCGAAGACAATATTCGGGATAAAAAAATCGTTAGAATTAACCTATCAAAAGACATAGGACATATTTGTGTTCCTACCGTAATCAATCGATGAAATGGTGTTGAAAATATTAAGATATATGCATATATATATATATAAACACTATTCATGCTACTGAAAAGAAATTTTTTCTAAATACGGTTGAAACAAAATTAAATTACTATGGATTTAACCATAAAACAGTTACGCTTGTTGAGATAAAAGAGATGTACGGCACACCATTTCTAAAATGGACCAATACTTCTCTTATAAATTGGTGGTTTTTGTTGTGGAATCATATTTCAGATTCTATCCACTATAATGTGTACAGATTTTGTTTCATAGAGTAAAAGTCTTATAAGGGAAAAATTGCTTCTCAAACGAAGGCCTCCTTGCCCGGGTCACCCCTTAATTTGTTTGTGTCCTTGTATGCTGAATCAGTGAGCACATAGCTTCCTTCGTCTCTCTTTCTTAAGCGATATACGAGGAAGGCTATCAGTATTATAGCACAGATACCTCCAACAATAACTGCAGCGATCACTTCTTTGGTCAGAACCCGTAGACCTGCTTTCTCTTGTTTCCTAGCCGCGACATTTCCATCGTTCCCAACTCCTCCTCCATACATGTCTTCTTCTGTTGTCGGCCTTACAGTTTTGCTAACTGCATCGCCAGTTGTGGTTGTTATTTTTCCAACCTCTTCTGTTAGGATATCAGGTTTTTTAGAAGAAGTAACAGCTTCTGGCTCTGTAGTAGGCTTAGTCGAAGGAATCTTTTTGACAGTGACTTTTGGAACCACGTTTTCTTCTCGTGTTGTTGGACGTACAGTTTTTTGACTGGCGGTTGTTATCGGCGTAACAACTACGCCACTTCCACTGCCACTGGAGTCTCCTTGTACATCACCAGAACCATCATCATCATCACCAGAAGACTCAGAATCTTTAGAACTTATCTTCTGGTTTGGTTTAATAGTTGTTACATCGATGTTCGAGTCTATAAACATCGTACCATCTTTACTGTTAGAATCGGCCGCCGCCACAAGACCGCACAAAAAAGCAGTCAAAATAACGATGAATAACCTCATATTCCCAACTCTTCGCTTTCTCTGTTTGCCTTGATCCTTATGAGAGTCTTCTCGATACTAAATTTCAAGTCCACGAAAAGTATTTCTTATAAAATTAGCTTGACAGAATATCGGCGTGTTCCTACTGGATCGGTAACGTTCTTCTCTAAACAAAGCCAGTAGATAGAAACGCAGTGAACGAGGGATTGTTAATTCATGTCAATCATACTTTCGACGTCATATGGGTAGATTACACCATTCAGGAAGCCAATCAAATGCTGCATGGAAATTCCCATGGTATTTGTTCTATTTCCGACTATTCAACCGCATCCGATCAACAAATGCCTTCTTTGGCAAAACAATTTCACTTAAACCGAAGTTCCTTTGATCTTTTAACTTATTTTCATCTTCTCTTTCCGAACGAATCTTAACTTATATATATTTTTCGTTGATTTTGCAATATCTTATATCGAATTCCTTAGCTTTAATCCGCTTGCTCAACGCTGTAACTAACACTCGAACATTCTTCGTGACGTAATCGGGATCCTCCCGTCTAGCGAAACAATCCCGAAGCAGATTCAACTTCCGAAATGATTACAAAAACGCAAGCGTTCGCCAGTTTTCAAATCTGAACAAAAAGAAGTTAAAAAAGGAAGTAAACAAAAAAAACTTTTTCAACAAATAATATCATTTTAAACTTTTCATATTTTTTAGATTTACTTCATCAAATCTCATTTGCAACGGAAACCGGCTTGGTTTCCTCGAAAAAAACTCACAATTTTCAATGTAAATCAAAGCTTCCTAAATAAGAATAATAGGTAAAGCTTTTTAAGTCAGTTTAATATTGTCTCGTAACTCTACTAGCGGGGCGTATTAAATCGTAAGTTATCCAAAAATAAATTGATTTCTAAATTTCCTCGGTAAAGTGTATTACTGAGCTAACACATTTGGGGAAAACCCATGCAAAGCTAAATACGAAAGATGACTTGCACTCTTTTAAGCCGAAACTAATTAATTACGGACATAACGCATCAACATTCAAAGAAAAAAATTGCTTCGCTAGATTATTTGAATACGAGTGCTCCAACAATCACTATCAATTTTTTATAAAGACTATATAATTTTTGAACGTCTTAGAAGAAATTCTCTTTTACAAATTTTTATGGTACTTGACTCAATTTCCGAGTTTTCTAACAAACGAAACTGAAACTGTGACGTTGTGACACTTTGCTATTTCTGGCATATGATGTCACATCATGTTATAGACAACACACCCGTCACGCATGGTGCGCCCGACCGACCGAAAGTACTTTTATTCGTAACCAGGAAGAAGAAAAATACTGTAAAAATTTGAAGAGTTTGAAACTTTCTATTTATAGAATTGATCCTCTCAGTGTAGTGAAGAAAAAAACCACTATGTTTAATAGGAAGAGAGAGATATGGATTATTTGATATTTACATAAATAAATGTGGAATCTTATGGAATTGATCCCCTTAGTGAAGTGAGTGGGGGGGAGGGAAGGTCACGTACTATGTTTAATAGGAAGAGTGAGGTATCGATTATTTCATATTTACAAAAGTAGAGAAGAGAAGAGAAGAGAAAAGAGAAAGGAAAGGACACCATCATCGGGTGTACTTCGATAAACCTGAGAGTATGGTCTATTTTGTATCCTTTCTTGAAGGCAGGTCCACGCGCGTAAAATATTGGTTCGACCATACAACCATATCCTGGGTCCAACAAATTAAAAAGCGTGGGGGACAAAATGGACGATTCAATTCAGTATTTTTCTAATCTTTTCACTGTATTCCGCAATTTTCTTTGCCTGAAGTCTTCCAGTAATATGAAACAAATTTAGCACAAAAACAAATCCGATATATCCAGCCCTACATAGACTAAGCACGGGAACCACAAGCACTCAATTGTGACAAAATTCTTTTGTACTAAAAACTACAAAATTTTATGATCGTCAAGATTTTAATATCGCATCAAACCTTTCCTTTTCTCGATCCATATTTTTCTATTTGGCAGTTTTGGTGGAATACTATAGACAAATCGCGCCGAAAATTCGAACACAAGGAAACTCTAAATCTATGTTCAAATTTCAAATGAGTGTCGAAATGATTGACAAGAACGCACACATTGTTATCGAGTTGAAGGTCGCTTTATTACATCGATTGAGTTTCGCAAGCTTCCGGTCAGAAATTCCAACCGTGAAGCGAGCTAAATATAAATTGCGTCCACACCGGTACTATGTCACTAGCCTGCTACAGATTACTTTAAAAAGTTGCTATCCATCCAAAAGAGAAACAAGAATACTGAAATAAGTTATCCGATGTATTTAACTAAAATATAGGGATCATCACTATAACTAGACTTATCAAGGTCAGGTATGACCAAGACATGATCTTCAATCCTGTAGCCTTAGGACCTTCCTCTCCTACCAGCATCATCTTCATGTTGTCTAGAGATCCATTGTTCGGACGTGGTTCTATCCCAAGGATTTTGCACATCATTGGGTAGACATCGATGGACCTGAGACCATGATCTATTTTGTATCCTTTCTTGAAGGCAGGTCCACGCGCGTAGAATATTGCAGCCAACTTTTCACTCGCGGGATACCCGTGCGCGCCGTATACCCAGTCACTTGATCTGTTGGTGCGAGTTGGTTCGACCATCCAACCATATCCTGGGTCCAAGAAAATGGGTGGGGTACGGCGATTATTTTTAAGGTGGTATTCTTCAGGTATGTTGTCTTTCTTGTATAGTTTGGCTTGTGGGTATTCGGTGACTAATTTGGTCAGATTTACATAGATTTCTTCCATCTTTCCCTCGTGTGGCCACAAATGAATTAGTGTTCCAGACTCTGTCAACATAAACGTTGATGGATCGAGATAATCATCCAAGTAAATCAACCTGCTCAGATTGACTTGCACAAAGCTGTGGTCAGCTACGAATATCAAGTTGACTTTATCTAAAAGGTCAACCTCTCTGAGCTTGTTGACTAAATATCCAACTGCGTCTCGATCTACTTTCTCGATCTCGTCTTTGAATTTCTGTGACTTAGGTCCGTCAGAATGTCCAACCCAGTCTGGCTGGTCAACATAAACTGCAACGAACTTAGGCGGTTTGTCTGATTTCAACCAGCTGACAATAGAGTCTATTCGCTGGCGGTATGGTATACTATAATTTGGAAGGCAGTGTATGTAGGGCGGCCATGAAGACCTCGATTGGTTCCGGTACAATGGAAGATCTTTTGGTGGAATAGCGCTACAGTTCACYTTACAGAAGGCTTTCTCGTAATAAGTCGGTGTAGTTTTGTAGCTTGAAAATCCCGGCCAAAAATACATTCCACTGTAGAAACTTTGCTTTTGTAGTGTAAGCCAAATGGGCTCTGACTCTTGCCAGAACTTGGGGTCATTATTTGTGCAGTCGTAATCGAAGATGAATTTCTCTTCATAGATGGGGTCCCAGAACTTGTTTGATACCAATCCATGACTCTCTGGGTACAACCCGGTGAGATAGGTTTGATGATTGGGCCAAGTCTTAGTTGGAGTAACCGTCTTCATGTACTTTGCCTTCACGCCTGTTGAAGCGATGTAATCAAGGTTTGTCGTGTTTGCAAATTTGCCTCCGGTGAACTGCCATCCAAGACCGTCTATAGAAACTAGAATTATCGGAGAAGACTTGTCTTTGGTTGCAGTATTTGAAGAACACAACAACGCAAAGCTGAGATGTATAATGATACTTGAAAGAAACATCATGGTCATGTGTTGACCGTTTATCCAAGTTTATATGTAAGCGCGGTGTGAGTCGTTTTCTACTGACCTGTACGACCCCCCGGGGGTACTCTTGCCCGTTTAAGGTAGGGATGTGCCGCTGAGCCCTCTGAACCCTGACCCTGTTCCAGAGTAAAATCGTTGAAATTCATACCCTGTTTCAGAGCAAGATCGCTGAAAACCATAACCTTTTCCGGTAGTGCGAAAATAGATACCCTGTTCAAGAGAGGAGAGAGCGTGATTTCATATACCCTGTCCCAGAGCGAGCGCGATTTTATATACCCTGTTTCAGAGTAGAATCGCTGAAAACCATACCCTGTTTGGAGGCGCCTACCCGTATAGCAAATATAGGGGAGTACCCCTCCCCCCCACTCACTGGGTGTACGACTATGGACGGCAGCTGGCCACTGATCATGACCGCTGGTCTAAAATATCATTCGGCTGCTCAGTTTTACTCGGGCTACATGTGGTGGCGTAGCAATACCCACTGATCTCTCTACTTCTTCATTATTTCGTAACAGCAATTTGCCTGTGCACTTTAACTTGAGGAATAAACGATGACAGTATTCTTGGGAATCCAGCTATGGATGGCTATTTTATTGGTGATTTTTGGATCTGATATCATGGCCTATCTGGCGAGCCCAGATTGTAGAAAGTGAATGCGCCTGCAATGCAGTCAATCAGATATATGTTATAGACGTCAGTTTTGCAGTCATCGCCATTTGGCTAGCTTGTCTGTCACTGTTGCACTTATTGTCTTCGCATCAAAAAAATCATTAAGTAAAAGACCTTACTCATGACAAGTATATTGGCAGGAACACAGACGTGAAATAAATGGCGCCATGGCCATGAAAGTATTTAAAATCCGGCTTACTCGCGCAAAGACTCTTTGGGTTACCTGGGTCAGCCTCACATGCCAGATAATTACGTACATGTAGCTGGGGGCCTGGCTAGCACAGCCGAGTGAACGCACCTGCCTGTGGTCTCCTATGATTTACATCATACTGATCTTTTAGCTGGTTCAGTCATGTCATCTCCTTCTGGCAAGTCAATCTCTGACTCTTTATATAAGTATAAACCTTCATAACTTAGGAACGCATCACTCAAAACCATTCAACTATTTACTTCATGTAGAATCGGTACTGAAAGTATTGTCGAAGGGTTCATTTGCACTTTAAATCACTTTATGTAGGAGCTGAGAATTGCGAAACAAAATATGGTACGACGCCTGACGACCTGACAGTATGTTATATTATTGGCTTATTGAAAGGTACACATAAGGGAAAATGCTATGCCCATGAAACGGCTTAGATTTCTGACACTCAACGGAGAATGAATGACAACTCAAAGCTGTTATTGTGATTACAGAAGGGGCGCTGTCACAGGGATTTGTGTTCCCCCGAGTTATGTGTTGCCCCGAACACTGGGCGCTAGTGTTTTATGTTCCCCCCTCCCCTCCCTATGAAACATCTTTTGACACGATTCTCTCCCCCAGGTCAAGGACATATTAAAGAGAACTATTACTCTGAAAACGAAAAATAAATGAATTATCTCTATCGTACATCTTTATCGTACATCGTATAACCGACATCCCTGCTAGACTGCAGTTACCTAGTTCCGTGGCTTCACTAGCCACCAAAGTGAAGCTAGCGTCGGATTGGCAGCGTCGGATTGATATTCATTGAGATTCAGAATCATTTCCGGGGGAGGTCAAACAGGTCATTCTACTAAAATCCTCTTTGTCCCCTAATAATAATGTAATACGAGTCCAATCCGAGGCTGAGATGTAATACGATCCCAATCCGAGGCTGAGATGTAATA